GGGGGGGAGAATCAGCCAGCAAGGAGCGGAACTGACCTGGGCACATGCAGATCCCAACGTTCTCTCACCCCTGCATTATTTTTTATGCCACTGTCACATTTCTCCTGCATCAGTGTGTATAGACCTATGTATGCCACGTGCAGGTGATGCAGGGCTTTTGTCTAACTAGCATCCAGGGAGGGGAGAAAAAACAGGAGCGTTACCCCTGGAACTCAACGGAGTATCTCACAGTTTCTCCAGGAACTGTCACTGGGCTACGTTCTCTCACCCCTGCATTATTTTTTATGCCACTGTCACATTTCTCCTGCATCAGTGTGTATAGACCTATGTATGCCACGTGCAGGTGATGCAGGGCTTTTGTCTAACTAGCATCCAGGGAGGGGAGAAAAAACAGGAGCGTTACCCCTGGAACTCAACGGAGTATCTCACAGTTTCTCCAGGAACTGTCACTGGGCTCCAGGTCAGGAAGTGCTTCATGTTGGTCGAGTGGATAGAGACATTTTGAGGGGCTGGCAGCAGGTCGTCTTCACCTAGGATTCCACCCAGGAGAAAAAAACAACTGTGACCTTTTGCTAAGTGAGTATCGCAGAACAAAAGGATTTAGAGACTGTCCTCCGCACTGCCACTCCGGAGCTCGGCATGCACCACGCCGGGCACGGCCTCACACGCAGGGATGTTACGGTTGTCTCGCCAACCCAGAGCAGCCCTCATGGCATGAGATGGCAGTTCAGCAGCTCTGCCCCATGGTCCTCCTCTGGGCTTCCGAGAGGCGGTGTGATGATGATTTGAGCTGGCCCTCTGGCCAGATCACTTTACAAATCCTCCTCTTCCGGATTTCCTCAAATGAATTACACTCGAGCCTCTTTAATCTGGCACCTCTCGAAACGGGGTATGCCGGATTAAAGATTTTGCCAGGCCAGGGAGATTGCTGCGGGGCATGAGGGAGTGGGTTGTTTATCTGCGACCCCCCTTCCTGGGGGCACATGTGGCTCTGAGCTCCCTGCTGCTCCCAAGCTCTGCCCCCCACCACTATGGGTGTGGCGGGGAAAGCGGCTCAGCACACTGATGTTCCCCCAGGTAGGGAGGAGTAGGAGTGGCCATGCCCAGAGCCACTTCCTCCTCCATACCAGGAGCGTTCCCAGACTAGGGACACCCAGGGTACCAGGATGTACCAGGAAAGACACTTGGCAACTAGCTAAAAACCAGTGTTTCTCAACCAGTGGTACAAGTACCCTTACGGGTATTCAAAAGAATTCTGGAGAGTACTTCAACACAACTGAAATTTGGAGAAAACTTTGAATTTTGTTTTAAGTTTTACAGCACTTTATTATTTTTGTACTTTTTACACCCAAAAATTTCATTGCTTGCCCAGCTACGATTACGTTGTTTAAACAAATGTATTGCAATGATAGAAAAAAAAATGTGTGTCTGAAAACTGTAGGTACTGAGGATAATTATAATTTTTTTAAAGGGGGTACTTTATAAAAAAAAAAGGTTGAGAAGCACTGCTAAGGCCACCCTGTAGGTCTCTGTGCACTGAGTCACTGTTCCAGGAATATACACTCAATACACAGGACACATAGTTCAGTGTTTCTATTAACAAACCAAACCAACAATTATCAGTAAGCACTCCCAGCCACCCAGACACAGATGCCCCATCAAAAATGAAAAGGAAACGCTGTGATCAACCCTAGGATCCTAAACAGGAGAGCGGGAACTGAACACAATGGGCCCTTCTGGCCCTCAAGTCTGCAAGATGTTTACACTGCCTTGGGGAGAGTGTTGGACTACTTTGTGTGGTTCTGCAGTCTAGATTTGGCAGAGAATGTTGAAAAACTGGAGAGGGTGCAGAAGGGAGACACAAAATGTATTCAAGGACTGAAGAAAAGGCCTGATGGTGAAGGAGCTTTATTATGATGCTCCTCTTTGGGGAGAAAATGTCAGGTGCTAAGGAGTTTTTTAATCTAAAGGGAAAACACCAAAACAAGAACCAATGGCTGAAAGTGAAAGCCAGACGCATTTCAAGTTAGACATCAGGAACAAATGCTAGCAGTGAGGATGATTATCATGGAGACACGCTACCTCAGGAAATGGTGGATTCTTCATCTCTTAGGGCACGTCTACACCATGTGGAAGATCAACGCTGCCGCGGTTGATCTTCCGGGGTTCGATTTAGCGGGTCTAGTATAGACCCGCAAAATCGAACTCAGAGGGCGCCCCTGTCAACACTGGTGCTTCTGCTTCTCACGAGAAGTAAGGGAAGCCGATGGGAGCATTTATTCCCATCAGCCCCCCACTGCATGGACAGCACAGAAATGTGATGTAGGATATGTCGACTCCAGCTACATAATTTACGTAGCTGGAGTTGCTCATCTTACTTCTACCTTCCAATAAAGTATAAACCAGGCCTCTATGTCTTCATATCAAGATCTGATATCTTTCTGGAAGACATGCTTTAGCCAAATACAAGGCTTTGGATTCAGTACAGGAGGAAAGAACCCTGTTGTGTAGAAGGTCAGAACAGAAAATCCAGTGGTCTCTCAAAATCTATTCATCTTGCCTTCTGGTTCATTTCTTGCCTTCCTTTCCTTTCCCCTATTTAGGGGGTTCACATTGTCCTGGGGAATCTATATGATAGAATTAAGTAGCCTCCATGCCAAATCTAAGGATTTTAATTTCTTCCCTTTTCACTTTAGGGTCTTTTTGATGAGCCTCCTTATTTTTTGGGAAGTTTCCCTTCATAAAATTCAATGTCTCTGGACTAGACTTTGGTACCTTCTTTTCCCCACGGATGTATAATGTAATTGCATTCTTTTAAGTCCTAAATAATATTCAGGAGATTGTTAAAAGGTAACTATATTATCAGCACTATGTCGAGAATAATCCGCTTCTTGATTGTTCAACTGCTGGTGCTCCAACAAATAATTGTTTAGGACAATGTTTCTCAGTCAGGTGTATGCATACCCATGGAGGTATGCAGATGTCTCCCCGGGGGTACATCAATTCATCTAGGTATTTGAGTCGCTTAACAACAGGCTACATAAAAAGCACTAGTGAAGTTGATACAAATTAAAATTTCATGCAATGATTTTATACTGCTCTCTATCCTACACACTGAAATGAAAATACAATATTTATATTCCAAATGATTCATTTTACAATGTATGTGATAAAAATGAGAAAGTAAGCAATTTCTCAGTGATTGTGTGCTGTGACACTTGTATTTCTATGTCTCATTTTGTAAGCAAGTAGTTTTAAAGTGAGGTGAAAAGGGTACAGTATGTCTGGAAAGGTTGAGAGACGCTGTTTTAGAAGACTATTCAGAAACAGAGAAAGGGAATAGGAAGATCTAGGTTTCCTAAAACCAGAACAAGGATTGTGGTCAATATCTCTACTCCTTATGCACAGGAAAATTAAAAAGAGGGATTTTTTGCAATTTTTCAAAATGTAGCCAGTTTTGTCACACTTTAAAAACAACCATCATATTCTTCCCCATTCCACATTCAGGGTGTGCAAAAGACTTTGTTTTAGAACATTAAATTGTATCACTGAAATGGGGTCAACATTTCACCTTCCCTTTATGGGAAAACAGGAAATGCATGTTGGGTAATTAAAGAATCCATGGAGAGTCTGTTCTTGGCTCATGCAAAACTATTAGCCACTTCTGAGAGCTGCATAGAGTAGGAAGGAGCTGGGCAAGACACAACATGATCCCAAAGCGGAGATGACCGACTTAGGAAACACAGAACCACATGAATCTGAGCTGTCAGGCACTGATGTTAAATGAATGATTCCCACAGATTTTCTTTGATAGAAATGCTTACAGTCCTTCAAGGTATCTACAGCCTTGTGATGCACCTTACATGTTACTAAGCAAAAAAATTTAAACTTGGGCTCTAAACCTGCAGCTGTGCCTCACAAACTGGGAATACTACAAAAAGATCCTAGATGCACATTATCTGCCTTGTCTCAAAATTGAAATCCTCCTTGGAATCTGATAGTTCCTCTCTGTAATTTGTTTACAAATTCCCTTTTCAATCTGATTGTTGCAGTGTTAACGCAGACACAGATTTACAATGCCAAACCACCTCTTCTTAATTTTTTACAAACTGGATTGACCCTCGCAATTTGACTAAAATAAATGTTAAAAAGCAAGAAAAGATATTTGCAGCCCTCCTCCCCAAAATGTACTTGTTATTGTAGCTGTGTCGCCTTTGAGCATTTTGGCCATTTACCTGTGAGAAGAGGTGCAATCACAGAGCAGAGAATGAAGATGAGGCTTGTGAACATTTCATCCGGACTCACTGTCTTTGTCCAGGTTTACGCCAGGCAGTTTGGCTCTGAGTTTCCTCTTCCCAGACCAGGAATCCCATTCAGTCTATCCCTGCTTAAGGCAATGCGGGGATTTTGAATCTCAGCATGGACTTGGTGTGGATGTCACTGCAGAGTGGAAATGTATCCTGTAATGATCAGAGTGACACCACAAACAGGCATCCTCCTGCCTCTCTAGCCAGGTGCATTGCTTAGGAGGGTGTGGCCTCAGGGAGTGTCAAAGATAGTTGCATTCGTTCCTTTTAGAGGGTTGTGCAATTGCCCGATTAGAATGGACAAGGCTGATCCTGTTTTAACTGAACAGTTACGACATGAATCAGTGCACAGGTAAAACCAGATTCTTTTGCATAGTCTATTCTATTCTATCACCCAAACCACTAGCCCTGTAATTACCAAAGTAACTCAGTGTTCAGGGAGCCTGTGGGGCCCAGCCCATCTCCTGAACCTTATGTCCATCAATTCCTGCCAATGAGAAGGAAGGAGACACAGAGGCTCTGCAGTCCTGGCAGACAGAATTGATGGTAACGCCATTGTGAATTCCAGTGACTCCACTGTCAAAGTGACAGAAGGAGAAAGCAAGAACAGGGTGCAGGAAAGATTCTTGTCAGGTTGCCTGGTACCAATCCAGCATAGCCTTTTTGTGGGGATCATCTTGGAAAACCAGCCAGGCTGAATATTCATCTCAAATGTAACCACAGTGGGTAGGATGTGGAGATCTAATGCTCCCCGTGTGAGAAAACAGAACTAAATCCCTAGGTGTAAGGGATTGACCTCACAGGATCCAGCTGGTAACTGCTCTTGTGAAGTATGTGCCAGACGGTGTGGCACCAAATCAGGTATCTCTCAACACCAGAGACTAAACCAGCTTGTGGTACACAACAGAGAGTGAATCCAAGCCAGTCAACCTAAACACAACTCACAAAGTAGAAAAAATAAGAGTCACTGAGTGGCCCAGGAAAAGTTACTTCTTACTGATTTTGGCAATATATATTGGGATCAGAAGTATATTAACAAACTTATTGCAAAAGAATTGATCACCAAATCTGCTAAGTCCATTGGTGACAAAGGAAAGATGTTTGGTGACCAACAAGGATTCAGAGACCTCTAACCTAGGATCTGGAGCAACCACTTGTTATGTGGAAGTAAGATCTGATGCGCTCCAATACACAATGGGCCTCAAAGTAAAGAAAGGCCTGGAGGCTCAGGGCCATGAGGGTTTTAAGACTAACATTCTTAGCACATGGGTTGAGGAAGACCCTAATGTCAGCTCTCTAGCTGAAACAACTTCATTGATGTTCTCTCCTCCTTCCTAATGTGACAAAAACAGATATAAACTTGCCTCTATCATCCCTGATGGCACTGAACATCCAGGCTATGTCTACATGCACAGTTATTTCAGAATAAGCTATTCCAGAATAGTTATTCCAAAATAGCTGGTATTTGAAATAGCATGTCTACACTGCAGGGAAGCCTCAAAATTAGTCCAAGGCAGGCTTCCCTAATGTAGATATGCTATCTCAATTTAGAGCCTCAGGAGGAATAACTTAAAATGGCCCCGGTGAAGGGCTATTTCAAAATAGCAGAAGTGGAGCGTCTACACACGCCTCAGTTCGAAATAGCTATTTCAGACTAGCTGTTATTCTTCATAGAATGAGGTTCACAGAAGTTGGAATAAGCCGCCCATTATTTAGAAATTATTTTGAAATAACGGAATTGCTGTGTAGACGCTCGCATAGTTATTTTGAAATAACAGCCATTATTCCAAAATACTACAGTGCCAAGTCATACCTGAAGGTGTCCACTATGTGTATAAGGGATAAGTGGGAGACCAAAACTCCCTTTGCGTACGTCTACACTTGCACCCTATTCCAAAATAGGGATGCAAATGTAGGTGACCAAAATTGCTAATGAAGCCAGGATTTAACTATCCCGTGCTTCATTAGCATAATCACGTCAGGGCGCCATTTTGAAATCGCATTATTTCGAAATAAAACACCCCGTTTAGCAGCGTTATTTCGAGAGAAAACCCTTCTCTCAAAATAACTTTCATTCCTCATACAATGAGGTTTACCAGTTATTTCGAGAGAAGGGTTTTCTCTCAAAATAACGCTGCTACACGGGGTGTTTTATTTCCAAATAATGCGATTTCAAAATGGCACCCAGATGCGATTATGCTAATGAAGCACGGGACATTTAAATCCCGGCTTCATTAGCAATTTCAGTCGCCTGCATTTGCATCCCTATTTCGGAATAGGGCACAAGTGTAGACATACCCTTTAATGGGTTTATACCTCACATCAGGGCCCTGGGCTCTGGGTCCTGATATGATCAATTTGAAAGGTCTTGTCCATGTGGAACCTATCAAATATACATTGGATGGCGCTATTAAAAAAATGGCTGGTTGCAGGTATAATACCTCATGATAGTAAAGAATATCAGAAACTAGTGATCCCCAAAATGATAGACCCAGAAGAGCTCAAGGATATAGGGAATTGGAAGCCTCTTGCCATCAGGTCCATCACGCTGTGGATTTTCAAGTATGCTGAAGTCCAGGCTGGTTAATGTGTGCTCATTAAATGAGAGATTCAAGGATTTATTGTGGCACCTGGCTGCTCAAAAACCTGACTGTTCTGTTAAGCAGGCAAAGGAGGACAAAAGCCCCTGGGAATTGTATTTATAGAAATAACCAAGGAATGCAGTTCAGTGTCCCATGATTACATCATCTGGGTGCTTCAGGGAGAGACCTGGACCATGGTGAACATCATTAATGACTCCTTTTGGAATAATCATACCTGTATGAAAGTGGAGAAGGAGCTCATACCTCCCATCAGTATCAAAGTCGGGTCAAACAAGGGAGCCCCATGTTAGCGCTGCTAATTAACCTAGCTCTTGACCCCCAGATAAGCAATGCTAGAAAGGCTGGTAGAATATTCTCGCACAGAAAGTGACAGCTCTCGCCTTTGCAGATCTTTTGCTCCTGCTCACTGACTTGTGGGGAGGCAAGAACAAGATCTCTGATATTCTGGATTCCTTTTGCAGGCTATTCAGCCTGAAGAGGCAAGCCAGAAAATGCCACAGATTCTTCCTGAGCACAACTCACAACTTGCACATTGTCAACAACTGTGAAGCCTGGAAGATGGGCTGAATGTGATAATACCAGGTGTGTCAGAGAAATATGTTGGTACAAAGGTTGATCTATGAATTGCATTATTCAAAGCTGCACTGTCTGACAAACTTGACACCTGGCTTAAAAGGACTGATAGAACCTATCTCAAGCCTTTGTAAAAACTGACATGCTGAATAGCTATGGCATCTCTAAGGTTATCTATCCAGCAGATCCATGCCAACTGTAAGAGAAATCTGCTATCTTCCCTCAAAAACAGCATTAGGAGGTGACTACTTTCTTCCACTATTTGATCTGAGGAAGTGGGTCTGGCCCACGAAAGCTCATCATCTAATAAACCATCTTGTTAGTCTTTAAAGTGCTACATTGTCCTGCATTTTGCTTCAACTACCCCAGACTAACACTGCTACATTTTTAGCATTAGGAGGGGCATCTTCCACTGGCCAACGCCCGCAATAATGCCAGATCCAGGGATGGAGCTATCAAGCAATTGCTTAGAACTGCATGCTCCAGAGATGAGATGTTTTCAAGCATTGCATTGTCTAGTAGTATCGAGGAGAAATTCAGCAGACTGTGGCTGGCAGCTTGTGAGACTGAAAAGGCCAAACCTGTGATATAGACCAAACTCTGTTCTTTAACAATATCAGAATACCAGTCCTTTAGCCATTATATGATTGGGAGATGCTGGCTCTCAGTCCCCTGTCCCAGTAAATGGGGTCAAACATTTTTGTAATGACCTAGTCATTGATTGGATCAGGAAACACGAGTTTCACAGCACCAGTTCCCAGTGCATTTAAAATTGGGAGTGAATATGTGCCTTAGGAATATGCTGCTATGTAGACGGGCCCTTAGTGAAGTACAGATGCTATTTAATGGTATGAAGTAGGGGTGGGCAACCTAAGGTCCAGAGGCCAGATCTAGCCCCTAGCTTGCCTGGATTTGGCCCTTCACTGGGGAGCCCATACTAGAGCTCCAGCCCCCCACTTTCCCTCAACCCGTTCTGTGGGGCTGGTGCACCAGCGCCAGCTCCCTGCTGTGGGGGGAGGAGCCCCAAGCTGGTGCCAGGCAAGCCAGAGCTGGATCCATACACAGCTGCACCCTCTCCCCTCAGCTGCTGCAGTAAAGTGCTGCCTGGAGGCTTTCCCCCCACAAAATCTACTAGCCCAGGCCCCGGTGTGCAAGAGCGAATATCTTTCTGATTCTCAGTCAGAGGCCCTGTCAGTGAGGTGGTTGGTTTGGTTTTGTTTGTTTGTTGCTTCTCCCTATTGTGCAGCCCCCAACTGATTTTTCTATGGTCAGCAGCCCCTGACCCAAAAAAGATTCCCTGCCCCGATTAAGGAATCTAAAACCCAGGCCAGCAGAGCTGCCAGAGAGTTAGCATCTCCCAACTGCCACCTAGCAGCAGTTATGACCACTCTGTACTCCACAGCTCACCTCTGAGAGCTGTAGCAGCCCCACAGCTCCTATCTGACTCCTAGCTCTGTACCGGGGTAGGGAACCTTTTTTGGGTCGGGGGCCACTGACCCACAGAAAAATCAATCGGGGGTGCACACAAGTGAGAAACAAAACAAAAACAAACAAAAAAACCCCCTCCCCTCACTGATGTGGCCCCCAACTGAGAAGAAGAAAGACACTCCCCACATTCCCCTCCCACACCAGAGCCTAGGAGGCAGATAAACTAGATTTTGTGTGTTCCAGCCCTGCAGTGGGACAGTGGGGGGCTGGAGCACCAGTGCCAGCTCCCCAGGGCTGAGGGGGGCTGTAAGCCTTGGGGGCTAGATCCAAGCAAGTTAGGGGCTGCATTCAGCCCCTGGGCCTGAGGTTCCCCACTCGTGCTCAGTAACAACTTCAAAACTGATCCTGAAAGTGTCCAGGCAATAGTGTGGTAACACAGATGTCCTAAAGAGGAGCCAAGGAGGATAGAAATCTCCTGTGGACCAGAAGGGCAAAAACTCGTTTGGTTCTTGAGTTTAAGTATGAATACAAACTGTGAAAGCAGGGCTTCATGATTCTTCTGACTTCTGGGGTTTCAAGCAGGAGGTGTCATAAAAGTTACCACGGAGATAACTGGCTTGTGCTGGCCGCATACACAGTATTTTGAGCCTTCT